AGGGCGGCTGAGGCTCCGTGTGACCCGCAGGCTGCAGGAGGAACCGCCGGCCGGCGTGAGCGGCGCCCCCTCCGAGAACAACATCATGGTGTGGAACGCCGTCATCTTCGGGTGAGCGGGGCCGGGGGCGGCGCGGCTGCGCGGGCCGGGCTGAGGCGCCGCGGGTAACACTCTGCTCTGCTTCTTCCCCCTTGCAGGCCCGAGGGGACCCCCTTCGAGGACGGTAAGTGCGGCCGGGGCGCCCTGCCCTGCTCGGCCGGTTCCTGCCGGGTGGCAACAGGTTGGGCCTGGGCAGAGAGGGCAGCGCAGGGGCCCCCTGTGACACACTGTTCTGCTCCTTGGACAGCATGGGGCAGGTGCAGAGGGCTGCCCTGATCTACAAGAACATGTAAATTAACTCACAGACCTGAATTTAGGTAAATGCCTGAATTAGCCTGCAGAAGGTTGCTCATAACCGACATCAGTCTCCCCTCGGTCGGAGCCGATGCCCTGCTCTAAGGATATCTGAGCATTTCTGTTGAGTTTGGGCTGTGTTTTCAGAGAGGCGTAGTTGGAGCACTGTCAAAAAGCTGCTATGGATCTGATATCATTAGGAGTGATTTATCTTGAGTGGTGTCTTATTGATGCTGAAAATCCTTTACAAGTAAGTCCCAGTGTGGGGCAGGTAACAGAAGGAAATGGGCTTGGGTTTTTGAGGAAGTCCGGAACAAAATTTATTTTCTTGCCATCTTCCTCACTCTCCTACAGTGAGTATCATTCAGGGTTACCACTGTGCACTGCTTGTTTCTGTCTGACTTGATCTCTTTTATAATACAACTGATGCTCTATGAATGTTTCAGCAACTTTTGTGAAAACAAAACAAAAACAAACCAAAAAAACCCAACTTGTTAGATATAAAGTACCATCTAACTAAAATCAATGTGTGTATATGGGAAAGGATAAATGTTTTTTTTTTTTTTTAAATACATAAAACAGACTTTCAGTGCAGAGCTGTAATTAATCCTAGATCTTCATGACTCATGATAAAAGCATAGGAAAAAATCTTTAACTCTTGAGTTGTTCTTGGCTGACTCTCTTATCTCTGGTCTTTATACTTATAGGTAACACCTGTAAACAGACTTGTAAATTCCAAATCTTTTCTGTGACGATTTTGCGTACTTGGTTGTTTCTGTGTTCAGGTATTTCTAGTTAAGGATGAGAAACGTGAATGTTATAAGGCTTTTTCCATATATATATATCCACTTACTTGCTGAAGACTGAAGACTGGAGACTGCTTCTGGGGCCCTGACATATTGATTATGTCTGTGGCTTTCCATTATGGTAGTATAGTACCTTAATCTCAGATACTTAGGGCCTCTTGCACTCACAGCAGTTGGAAGTTTAAACTAATGCTTGTGTTGGCTACAGCTATGCCACTGCTTTGGTTGCTCTAATAACATAAGCTTGATGTCTGATGGATTGCTTTTTTCATAGTGTGGTGTATGTGTTTTCGCAGTGCATGCTCAGGAAAAAAAGATACGTCCTGTGCTGCCGGATATACTTATCTCCTTTTCCCTGGCACATATCTTACCTTGTGCTAGATAACAAAATACTAAGTGGTGCATGCAGATATGGATGGAGTGCAGTCTATGTGCTTTTTCCTCTTAACTGAGAGGACTAATGGTAGTGTATTTCAGATGCAGTTCTAGCTTAGTGTGAATAAAATGAAAGAACTTTTTATTTAATAGTATTGAGATGCTGTTTTGTGCTTGTTTGGAATAGTTCAGCCCCTTGTGAATCAGAGGTGCAGTAGAGTTCTGTAGTCCTTTCCATAACGCCTTTGCAGGGCTTATTTTTTAAAGGGTTTCTTGCTCTGGTGAGGCCTTTCTTACATCTCAAGTTTTTAAATTTCTTAGGTTTGTCTGAACTGAAAGCCCGAAGTTGAAATGCCTTTTTCTGTGCTTGCAGTGCTTGCATACTTGTTTAACGCTGCTAACAAGCTCTCTTCCCTCCACCCCCAAATTTTGGAGGGTGTTTTCACAACTTGGTATGCAGGCTGGCTCTGCCTAGGAGCAAGTACTGATTTAGATCTGGAGCATGTAACTTCCATTTTCTACCTTGAGAGGATTCCACTGTAGGTATCTGCAATAGCATCCTGTGGATATTTGTGCACCCTTTACTCCATTTCTAAGAATCTATATTGTGTGGCGTTGAACGTGATGGTGCTCCTGCTGTGATGGAAATCCAGGCTCACACTTGCTTCTCTGAAGCTGGGTTGTGCTTAATGTAGGGTTCCTGGTTTAGAGAGAGTTGGGAAATGTAGTTGTCACAGAATTGTCACATGCAGGAGGCTTGGATGGAGAAAGCAGTGTGTTTGCCTGCTGTAGGGCTTCTTCCTTGCTTAAGGGGATGTGGGTTCTGTATCCTTATGCTGGAGAGGAAGGAATTGGCCCTGCTTTGTGACACTGGATGTGAGGGGGCCAGTCTTGCTCCATGCAGGGTGAGGCTGGGGTGCTCGGCCAGCTCCTGGCAGGGGCCACACAGGCCAGCCCAGCATCATGGGATCCCTACTAAAATCTTAAAACCTAACATAGAAGAAGCAGAGCTGCAAAATAAGTGCAAGATGGGAAAGAGAATGCTTTCCTAATAACAAATGTTGATTATCATGTAATAACGATGGTGAATGCTATGCTTTTCCTTTTAAAACTGGCTGACTTGGGTGAGTTGAAAGACTTGCCAATTAAAAGCTGTGAAACTAATGACAGGAGAGCTGTGGACACTAAAGGCTTATCCTCAGTGTTGTGTGTTATGACACCCTTTTTCCTTGTGCAGGCTTTAGATGCGAGTGACCCTGAAGTTTGGATCAGTGAATCTCTGGAATTGTCCTTCAGTAGCGCCAGATAACAAGGTGTTGGGTGCTGGGAGCTCTTGAAAAGAACTACCACTACTCTGGGTCTTGTCCTGGGAATCTGAGAACCTAGATATTCCAGCTAGGAACTGTCTAGCTACTCACTGAGGTTGCTGTTGAATGTAATGCACTGTCTCTGGTGGAGCAGATGGCTTCTCTGTTCTGAGTAACTCTAAATGAATTTGAAGACTAGGCTGCCCTTGATCCTGCTTTTTGGCTGTCGATCTGCCCTCCTCTGCTCTTGCTTCAGTCAGTGCTCTGGAACAACTTCCATTTTCTCAAGTGCGCTTGTGGACTCCACTTGATGGTTGGTACCCAGTTCTCAGCGTGCTGCTTGCCTGGTCACTCTTCGCAGACGAAAGTACCTGCTTTAGTGCTTCATGAACAGGAGGATCCTGCGGGCAGGGTTAGGGCAGGGAGAGGAGTTAGCAAGTTCTCTCCATCTGATTCTAGACTGCTGATACTGCTTGTACTTGTAACCATGTATGGAAGGAAGGATGGTCTTAAGCTGACTGCCTGCAGCTGGCAGATGTTGTTACTAAACTTTCCAGTCTTGGCTTTCAAGCTGATCTAAAAGGACCAAGTCTCAGATCTACGTTAGTCAGAGTAAGATTCAGGATCAGCGCTGCAAACTAGCCTTGATTTGAGTGATTGTAGGGCACAGATATTGCTCGATCATTAAGTGAGGCTGTTCTCGGTCCCTTTGCTTTACAGTAAGATGCTGTACCGCTGCTGCGTGTTGTTAAGGTAGTAACTGTGCTCTGTCTTCTTACATGGACATCTAAGCAATGACCTTTATTTCTTACAACTCAACTTGCAGCTTACCTGCTTATAAAAGAAAGCATGCCTGAAGATACTGTTGACCCTTACTGATAGAAAGGGGTTGAATATCTGTTTTCTGACCACCAATCTGTTCTCTGGCATGTTTGTCAGCCAAATGATGGGATACCTTGAATTAGACAAGAGCTGGGAAACTTTGTGACAGTACTAGGCAAGGAGGAGCTTTATATTAGAACTCCTGACCACTAAGACCTTAAAAGTATTAAGTGTTACATTTGCTATGGCAGAGTCTTACAGCTCTTATGATAAGGTACTTTATAGAGAGATTTTTTTTTTTTTTTTGTAGGAAGGTGCTTCAAATCTTCCTCATTTGGCACATCCAGCCCCTTCATACAGTTTCCTGGATGGGTGACCCCAAGATGACAGTGTAGAGAAGAGAGCTTGTTTTGAGGAGGAGTATGTATAATTCTTTAGGTACTGACTTGAATGGTTAGCAGAGCTTGAACCCATATTTATACAGCTTGTTTGACAGACTCTTTATTCTCATTTGGATTGGAACTTAACAGTACAGTCTTCTGACTCCTCTAAAACCATCCTTTCTCTGAGGGAAAACTAGTTAGCAAATGCGGAAGCAAATGTTTTGCCTCCCTCCCTTTTTTTTTTTTTTTGGTCTACTTTGGGTGTTGCTGCTTTGCTACAATACTGTCTGATTGCCTCAGATGATGAAACTTAAGCAGAAAAGTAAATAATAAAAATAGCATATTCCAATCTATAGGATTTGCTAAACATCCTTGTGTTTGTTCTACAAAGCACTGCAGTTAAGCTTTCCAGAGGAAAACATAAAGGGTCGATTTATTTCCTAACATACATCTTTTGAGCAGGGCAGTAGTTGCATCAATAAAAGAAGTCCCAGGAGAAGCTCCTCTAGCAGAGCTCTCTAGAGCACAAGTTGATCACTGTGGGCTCAAGCAGAGTTCTGTAGGCAGCACACATGTATGGCCATGACTGCACCAGTCTGCACTTAGAGTGACACTACTTGTTCATCCATTGTGTACATTTATTCTGAATAAAATGTTACTTATTTCTCTTTCATCTCCAGGAACTTTCAAACTTACCATAGAATTCACAGAAGAATATCCAAATAAGCCACCTACTGTTAGATTTGTCTCTAAAATGTTTCATCCAAATGGTAAGTACTTGCATAATGACTGTTTTTTAAACTAAAGCTTTCAGTAGCTTTGTAGAAAAAAAAGTTATTTTAAAAGCCTTCACTGTCTAATAAGGTACTAAAATTCCAGTGTGGTTCCGTGTACTTTCTGTGAGGATGGATGTGTGAGCAGTGTTTAGACTTTAAAGGAAAGGGCATAAAAGGAGCCTGTTGGCTTACAGGTGTTACAGCTGAGTACTGATCCTATTCCTTCCCCTCCCACCTGACAGTTAAACCTGACAGACACATACTTTGTACTTGCTTAAGTAACAGATGCCTCTCGTTTTAATGTGTACATGCATATATTTGTGTATATTCATATAGCACTTTCCCATGTAGTCATCACTTAAAGACAAGTGAAGGTGACTGCCCGTGAGAACTTTCGCCTGTCATGCTTTGAAATGCAGTACTGTCTTTTAACTACAAGTGGTGATAATAAGATAAATTCATTAATCACCTGCCTTGTTAATTCAAGATCAGCAGATCTTGAAAACAGATAGCAGCTTTATGAAGAAATTCCTGAAACTGAGATGTAGCAAATGAGTACTTTTGGGTTAAGCTGAGTAGGGGGAGGAAAAGGCAGGTTCTTCTAGACCTGTCATAAGAAAGTTGAATGGACATGAATTGTTAGAGACACTTTATGGGGTAGCCTTATATGTAAACAGATTTTTACTAGTTCTCTGTTAGTTTTCTTGTAGGTACTTTTTTTCCCCCCCCCCCTTATGTCTGTTTCTGCTGGTTTCACCCTCCCCTCAGCAGTAGTTATAATGTCGGAGAACCTGATTGAAGAACAGGCAAGGGCTGAATTTAAGCGTAGCTCAGGGTGCTCCAGTGACAGGCCTCACTTGTCCCTGCAGTCAGTGTTGGCTTCCAGTCTGACACTGACTCCTTCTAGTTTTTGTCAGAAAATAGGTTTTCAGGAGCAGGTAATACTAGGAAACACTTGTAGTTCTGCAACTGCTGTTTTAAGCCATTCTTCTTGAACCTTTTCTAGTCTATGCAGATGGTAGTATATGTCTGGATATTCTTCAGAATCGTTGGAGTCCTACTTATGATGTCTCCTCCATCTTAACATCCATACAGGTAAAGAGATAACTCTGCATGAAAAGGCAGAATTAGATTAGGATGTTTTGACAAACAGCACTCAAAAATGATGTTTTTCTCCTGATAACAAAGATCAAAGTGTAGTTGCCGTGCTGGCAGCGGTATGGATACTTGCAGCTGCAAACTGACTGGACTTACAGTAGGTGGTCACTGAGGGTTCACATCTAATGATCCAGGCACTGCTTGGCTCTTGCTCTTGGCTGTCAGTTAAAACATGTTGCCAAGCCTTCTAAGAGCAAGACAAATAGAAAAAGTTTCCTCCAATAATTTTCAGCCATTAGTTAAAACACTGTTAGTCTTAAAGGCTTACCATATATTTTAAGATGAACTGGCATACTCTTATTAGTATGGATGCCGTAAAGAATGTTTTTTATACATGCTGCAAATGGTCTACATGCCTAAGAATCTCTTCTCTCTCTGCACAGTCTCTATTGGATGAGCCAAACCCTAACAGCCCAGCGAACAGCCAGGCAGCTCAACTATACCAAGAGAATAAGCGGGAATATGAAAAACGGGTTTCTGCAATAGTAGAACAGAGTTGGCGTGACTGTTGACCCAGGATGATGCAAATGAACACTCTGGTGATGAGGAAAATCATATACGAAGTGTCTGAGTCATCTTCTTCCTCCTAGCATCATTGCATTTACTTTGAAAGCAGAATAGCTGTTGTGCTGTTGCCACCCTCCCTTGCTGAAGCTTCTTTTCCTTGGACATCAGAAAGCACCCACTTTGAAGTCAAATGTACTGTACTTGGGTTACTTGCAAAAGAATTACTGATGCTGAATTCATTTCTGTGGTCCCTCTCCAGTCTTAGGGCAGTATTGTGCATTTCCGTAGTGTACACTAAGCTTTTAAGTGTAATTGTGTTATACACAGTGATGCTTATGTGTAGCTTGACAAAAGGGATGTTTATACACATACATTTTTAAACTGATATTACTAAAGTGCTGATCTGTCCAGGCTGGTCACTTACCTCTACTATTGGTTTAGACCCCATTGCATTTGTAAGTAGTGAGTAAAGAAACAACCTCTTGTTTCCCATTTGTACTGGTTTATCAATTCCTCACCTGTGAAAAATCTGTAAACTCCAAAACTGATTCCCGTTCAACTGAGTAGTAAGACCGGTGAGGCTAGTCACTTAATATGCAGGATTTATGTATAGGTATACATAAATCATTACAGTTGTGGTACTTTGATTTTTTGCTTAAGGTGAGAAATAACCCCCCCTTTTTATTTTATTTTAACTAGTGTGTTGAAGCACATGCCTCTAGAGACTGCTTCAGTCAACTGCTCTAGTCCTGTCACTGAGGCACTACGGGACAAAACCAGGTAGAGCTGTGGTACTCTGAATAAAAGACCTTCCATATTAAGGAAGAAATAGAACCCAAAGTGGTGCCAAGGGGGAATAACTCTTCCTTCAGTGTCTTTCTCCCTTGCTACCCTTACCTTTATCTGCAAAAGATGAATTTGTTGGGATCCAACTTTGCTTCTTGGAAAGTTTGAAGGATGGGCTAGGCACCTGAGTGTCTGCAGTTCCTGCTCTTTGTAGATTACTCTGTGGGTTGTGAGCTACTGCTGCATGCTTCAGTTAGTTTTCCTTCAATTTTATGAAAGTATTTTTTCAACCCTAAAAAAAAAAATTTGTAAGTCCAGACTCACTTTTTTTGTAAGGCTAAGTTTGTACATTTGGATACAGTACCTTGAGCAGCAGCGTGGGATGAAACCTACAATTGTGTTGTCCACTGTTCCAGTGTCTTGTGTGCACATTGGTCTGTTAGTTGAGAAGTATAACTTTGCACAAGTAACCCATGTAAGAAACTGTACATTTTTCAAAACTTGTAAATAAAGTGTAACCTTAAATGCTTATTGTATAAATAGGCAAGAGCTGTATAACTGTGGTTATTTTAAGCTGGGGGGAGATGGTTTAAATGTATTTTAGCAGCAAGTGGGCTTTGAACTATTTCATTCCAGGATGGGATGGACAGGGTTGGGGCAATCTCTAATGCTGGGTTTATAGAATGAAACTATCTCAAAATCTGAAGGTGGCTGAGGGAGAGGAAGGAGGGAAAGGCCAGGACCAACTACCACTAGGGAAATAGGAAAAACAATCCTGGCGTGAGCAAGGAAAGCACTTGCAGGAAGGTCGAGGCAGAAAGGCTCCCCTAGGAGAGAGCTGTTCCAGCAGGAGGGTGGTGATGCTGCTCAGATGCTGCACCAAGGTCAGGAGTCACTTTCTATTTCACTCCTGTCCTATGATGGGGAGAGGAGGATTTAAAATGACACCTAACAGCCGCTGATATTGCCACCTCACTACCTACCACAAGGGCAGAAGCTACCACAGCCATTAAGGTGAGATGGAGGTGAGATTTATTCCCTCCCGTTGGTGACAGGCTGTGGGGCTCAAGGGCATCCTGCAGAGTGTGGTGGACTTACAGTCAGTGCAGATTTTTACCATTACAGTCTTGCCTAAGTTATACTGCTAACTCTCCTGAAGGCCAAATCATTTAATGGGGTGGATCAAACAGCTGCTTCTGTCACCCACAAAGCCAAGGCCTGCACTGCCAGCCTGACATGTGCCTGGGCAAGGCAGGCGAGAGCAACTCCTGCTCGAGCAGACAGGGATTTGGTTTGTTGGAAGGCCCTGGGCAAGGGTTCCCTAGCGCTCCTTCCAGCCTCACACCTCTCCTGAGCACAGTCCAGCGCTAGGAGGTTCCTTCAGCAACTTCCATCCCAAGGATCTGCACTGACTGAGACAACTAAAGGCAAGAAAACGCAACACTAAGGAGCCTTCCCATTTCCAATGTACCATCTGCTACTTATTTCTGAAAGCTATTATGCCAAACAGAAGAAGAAGAGCCCTTCTGACTGGTAACGTGATTCTAGCGTCATAGAAAAGACTTAGCATTACTCTCTCTAAAAGAAGAAGGAAAAAAATAATCAAATAACCAACCAAACAAAAACACAGGAGCAGGCCCAAAACAAGAGCAGCATCAAGATGTAAAAATCTTGCTTTTTGTCCTCATCTGCTGCATTAATTTCTTTCAGGCCACACAGCGCAGGTACCTCTGGGTTTACACAGACCCGCAGGTGCCCCAGACGATGCCCATTCCTCCAGCTCTGGCAGCTCCCACCCACGGACACGAGGCCCCTGCAGACTAAAGGCCCACGAGTGGTGAAGATCTATGGCTACTCACCACGACTGGTCCCCAGGACGGGAAACGGGCCCCAGCCCCCGTCACTGCAGCCAACCACCCACCTCCACGGAGGAATCGTTGCATTTTCCCAGACCCATGCAGGGGACCGGGGCAGTTTTCAGTCCTATTGCACCTGCAGAGGACTGCAACACTGCAGTGCTGCTCCTGCCTGTCCTGGCAGCACCAGGTTCTGAACAGCTCCCCAGTATCCAGCAGTTAGGGAGGGGGAGCTGCACACTTCTGCCTGCAGGAATAGCTGCCGAGATCTAAAAGCACCAGGCTTCTTGCACTCCTACAGTGCCATCTGCTACAGCTCAGTCACTGAGAGCAGAATTCAGAAGCTGAGAGAGAGAGACAAAAGTGCACAGATATAAAGAAAAATACCTCCAGAATCACAGCCAGATTATTTCTCTCCAGAGACAGTACCAGCATGAAGGTGTTTGAGAGGATCAAGCCAGCAGCAGCTGCACTGAGGGCCTCTAGCTAGCACAGGAGCAGCTGCTCCTTCCTGAGCATGTTTCTTACCTGCAACTGTCACTCCTCCAGTGCAGCCTCTCCCTTTGCACACTGGCGGGATGAAAACGCCTGCGGCTGCACAACACCAGGGTCGTCTGCTTCGTAGGCAAGGGGCATCACCCTCTCTTCAAAGCAAAGATTATTATTAAAAAAAAAAAAAAAGGCAGTACAGGAGATGGAAACAAGAGAACAAAACAACAGCTGGGATACACGCCAAGGGAACACAGAAACAGGAACACTTGATCCAGCTTGCCATAACCAGCTGGCTTTGTGCTACAGAACCATTAGCAGGTCCTATCAGTGACAGAAACTCCCTAACGTCCAAGTTTTCCACCTGGCTCCTACCAGGCTGACTCCTGCCCCAGCAGTTTGGGAGCAGGAAGCGGCTTTCCTGCAAGGCTGGGAATGGCAGCAGGGATTCGGCTTCCGCCTCCCGGGACCAGAGGACGGGTCTGGAGCCCAGGCAGCACCAGGCCTGCAGAGGGGCCGCGCACGCTGCAGGAAAGCAGGGCAGTTGCTGTGCACCTCCCTCGGCATCCACAAACATAGGCACATAAATGGAGCAGCGGAATAATTAGGCACAGATTGGATTTTCCCCAGGATTAAAGAGCCTATATATTGAAAGTTTAAAAAAAAAAAAAAAGTTATATAACAGTCCCCACAGCCTACACCAGCATCCTTGATGTCTGGGTTCTGCCTTTACCTTTTTTTCTTTTTTTCATATTTCACACGTCACCACAGTATTTGCACATGTCAAGCAGTGCTTCAAGGTAAAGAGCCACCGGAATTACCTAAGTTCAATACACTGATGATTAAGGTGCATTCAGTGATTCTCAGTAGGGGAGATTTAAGGTAGACATCTATGGCTCAAAAAAAAAAAAAAAAAACCTCTACTGTTAAATTGGTAAAGGACAGCTCTCTACATACAAACACAGCAGAGACAAGAGCTTGCTACATATTTCTCAAGAGTAAATATAGTTTCACAAATTTGTACAAAATGTGACAAATCCCTTTTTTTTTTTCCAGAAATAAAACTGTATTTTTATTGTCATGAATACCCACTTTACATACAGATTTATTCCTCCACACTGCATTTCCTTTTCTTTTTTTTTTTTTTCTTTTTTTTTTAAAAAAAGGCTTTTTTTTTTCCCTTTCTCCGTCAAAAAGGGTATAATTTTAAATGCTGTCAAATGCTTTCTGGTTGGACATGTGTTTTTGCTATTACAAAACTATTAAAATGTGAAGGTACAAGTAATATCAAAGACACATACAGTAACAGCACTATTGTTTTTTGGGTTGCGCTACTATACTTGAACAGAACTTTGTCGGTTCTAATTGTCTAGTAATATTTTAGAAATTGCATGAGCAAAGTAAAACATCTTTATGTTAATATATCCCACAACAATAAAATGCAGCATCTCCTTCTTTAATTAGGGATTGAGGCAGTTCAGTCTCACCACACTTTCACCTGCAGAACTGGACACCGTAACCTCAATTTGCTTGTGGCATAATCAGCTCATAATGTCCAACCTGGCCTTCTTGCTTCAGCTGGTCTAACAGATCTTCCTTGCGCCGCTTCCTGCTCACCACCAAGTATCTACCGTGGCCCTGCCCATGAGATTTACTTTTAAGACCATATTTCTGGGCAATCTGATGTATCTGCTTCCGCTCATCATTGGTAAGGTCTGTAGAGAAAGTCAAGTCAATGTGACTTTCTGAGCGTGCATAGTTTCGAATGATCTGCTCAATATCTCTTTTAGCAATTTTGTTCACCCTTTCTACATCAAGCCCAAGTCCTTCCCTTTTAAACTG